ATATATATAAATATAATACATATCGTATTCGACTGGCTTTTTAATATTCTATTTTATTCTGCATTATTTGTAAGACTTGCTCTTCCATAATCATCATATTCAATTAATTACAACAAAAAAATATATCGATTACTACAATATTTAAATTACACTACTATGTACATAGGTAAACATTATTTTTTTCTTCATTTAAAATCACTTAAAAAACGTCCACGATGCTACTACTCTATCCTACCGCTAGTCCACAGCTTTAGAGGGGAAAGTGGGGAGAAGGTGGGTGTACGTGGCCACCCACCACCGCCCTCTCTCTCTCGCCCTATTTTTTTTTTGCCTTCGACAGACAACTTAAAAAATATTTCGCAAAAGTTAATACACGATAAAATTAATTGAAGAACCCCATTAACAAGAAGAGCTTCTTCGAAGGCAAATATCTACAATGTATCTGTCTGTCTGTCTGTCAACGATCGAAATACGCTTAGTATGTTAATAATATCGACACCCGGCGTACATATTATACAATATCGTGTCTGTTGCAATTTAATAAAAATAAAATTAGATACAACACCCGACAGAGTTCGTTTTTGTCACTACTACTGTACCAAAATCCCTGGTAGCTCCTTTTTACTCTCTCGCTCTCTCTCTCTCTTTCTCTCGCCTTATATATATATATATGTGTATATACAAACCGCCGACACAGCAAGTCCGCAAAAAAATTATTATATTTAATAACTACAGTTATAATATTAATAGTAATAATCAATAATATTGCTAGTTATATACACGACAATTGAGTTCCTGCGCGACGCGAAGCCGGAAGCCTCAGGGGATGGGGAGAGAGAACAACGAGAGAAAAAATAATTATTATCTCAAAGATAACGAAAGCACGCCACTTTTTCTTTTAGTTTTGTTTTGAGCAAGTTAACAAACACACCCCCAGCATTCACCACAGTTATGTCCTATTGCATGCATACAAATGACTCGACGCGAAAAAAAATCCGGTATTTTCTTAAGAACTGGCCTGTGTATATTCCTTTTTCGTCACTTCCGGATACCGACCCTGAGACACGGGACAAAAGGAGCCTTCGAACGCGGCCATGAGATCGCTCTGCATGTTCATATCTATCTGGTTCGCCATCTGGAAAAACGCATGTTTTCCGTTTTTCTTCTGAAAATGGGACAAAACAAAAATGGAAATGATAACAAAAACTCACCGCCTCCCGTCTCCTTCTTTCCTGCTCCCGTAAACGCTGGCGTTCCCTTTCTGTCCTGTCCGAACCCGAACTTTGAGATCCAGGAGATATGCTGCCTTCAGCAGGGGAGTTCCTCAATTCGTCCACCCTTCCAGGGGGCAGCGGTTGCTGCTGCTGTTCAGCCACCGCTTTCCTACACGGAAACAATAACAATTACATAAATGGACAAAGACAGCAACCTTCACCAGAAAAATATAAAACATTAAACATACCTGGCTTTCTCTAACGCATCTTCCTCTTCTTTTTCCCTTCTCTTTTCATTTTCTACCCTGAGCCGTTCCTTCTCCGCCTGTTCCTTCTGTTGCCTTTTAAGTTCCAGATTTTCCAGCCTCTGTTTCTCCCTGTCAGCTTTCTCTTTCGCCTGTTTTTGAAACGCCTTAAAACTATCCATTACATGCTGTCTCGTTGAACTGCTTGCGTTGGCTGGGACGCCTTGAGGGGAGTTGCTCGCCTGCGCTAAACTCGACCAAGAGCTCGCGTTCTTCACGTTGGCGGCTTCAGGTGTGGTCTTCATTTTGTAACTACCACCTCCACCTCCAGGCGGTACGCCACCACTGAACCCGTGTTTATCGTGTTGGGGCTTCGAATCTCCCGTTGACACCAATTCCTCTAGAGGTTTCGAGCCCAAGACTTGTGTAGGATGCTCCTTTTTGATTGCGGGCTGCTGTTGGGGTAACGGATCAAACATGGACGGTATCGACATGTTCATAGGAATCCCCGCGCTCATGAGACCGTTACTGTCATACGAATGTTTCAGTTCGTAGCCGTTGTTGTTATTCGAATGCATCATGGGATGCGATGAGGTAACGGGGGGCACAATGGGCGGGTGACTCAAATCAGCCGATGTGGGAAGATTGTTATGATGCATGAGAGAATTCGTGGGCATCAAACCACCACCAGGATCAATAGACACCATTGGATGCGGAGGTTTGACATCCAGACCTCCCAAACTACCCTGCAACATGGGCGAAGGATTGATGGTAGGATTGGGCGGAATTGAATGATTAGGATATGCAGGTGGAGGTATTGAGGGTGCTAAACCCTCTAACGGTTCGCTTTTTATTATATTGTGCTCAGTTTTTATAATGTCGTGCTCTAAACTAGCCAGGGACTGTTCGAGAGGATCGGTGAAGTTGTTAGGTAGAGGGGAGATGATGGGTTTTTTGTCGGGAGAGTGTTTGTTGGCTAGTTGCGGTGGCTGTTGTTGTTGTTGTTGGTGGTGGGAGACAACGGGTGGCGTAGGAGCCACCGTCGACGGAGGTATTACGGGTGGTATTATAGATTTTTCGCTAACTATCGACGATTTTCGAACCGACAGAGGCGCTTGCTGCGAAACCATTGCATTAGGTTTGTTCACGACGTTGTTGTTCACCACATTTGAGGTTTGAGGGGTTGTAATGTTTGTGTTGTTATTGTTAACCACCGTTGTCGAAACAGGTGTCACGGGGGGTTGTTTCTGTAACGTCTATAAAAAAAAAAGATGCACCTAATTTTCAAAACAAAAACAAACATCTTCTCGTCATACATTTCAGTCCCAGTAGTGAATTTCACGAACGATAAAAATTTAACAAAAAACCAAACATACAACACAATTAATTAGGTAATATGTAGTCGGAAACTTACCGTGGCGTGTCCACTGGGTGATTTTTTGTTCTTCTTCTTGGGCGGTTTGTTATTACTTCCCCCTAAAAAACTTTTTAGCTAAGTACCGAGTTTCCTTCGACCACTAGACGCGCCCTCGAGTGCACAAGGTGTATTTCATTTTCCTTTCAACTTTTTTATTTATAATAATGTAGCAAGAAGAAAACAGCACAACCATTTCGTTATGAACTTCTGTAATATTCCACATGTACGTATTTTTTCTATTATATCATGTTGACATGAGCATTTAAAAGAAAATTGGTGGATTTATTAACTGTATAAAATCGAGATGGGGTCACACACCGAAACGAGACAAAGAGGCAAATATTACTGAGACAACAAATTCACACAATATATATATATAAGTATATATAAAACATATTTACGTATAATACTAACATTACTTGACTATTATTATTATTTACACATCAACTAGCAACCCAATGTCGTACTTTGTATGTGTAACACATAGGTAGGTATTTTTACAACGTTTTTTGAATATCCACGGGAATACTAAATTAAATATCAATTCGATTTAGTTAATTTTTTAATGGAAATAAATGGAAACTTATAATGACAATAGAAGTATATTTAAGAGTTTGTCAGATACAAACAGAAATATAAAAAAGAACAATAAATTTAAGTGCAAATTAAAATTAGCGTAATAATTGGGATCGAGGGCAGACGGTATGTACAACCATACCGCCCAATTAACTAAATTAATTCCGTTACAAAAAAGTTTTTCTTCAGTATTTATATAATTATGTATGTATATGTATGTACAAATACATATGCGTTAACACGGGGGCATCATGACAGCAAAACACACACATTTTGTACAGAGTGGAATTTTTTTCGGTAATAACATGTTAATACTTGCCTCTCAGAAAATAAGAAAACAAAATAAAAAGAGAAAGAAAGAATGGGGGGGGGGAGGGCAACAAAAACCGTCTTTTAAAAAGTACACTTCCTTGAGTACAAACAATGTGTGATTGGAGGCTGCAAAAAGATATATCTGCATCATTATTGCTCGATTTGAATTATTATTTTTTTCAAATACAAAATTGGAACCATACAGTAACTAAAATTATCTTTTTTTTTCCCGTCCACTCGCATCTTTGTAAGGAACAATAAATTATTTCTCCTCGATCGAAAAATAAAAAACTGACCTATAATATCAATGTTAATTGCAATTTTTAACGCTTTGAATCACCCTGTATATGCTATTATGAAAAGCGCTAAACGAATTTTATCTTGTAGGTATACAGAATGTTTTGTGCAATTCAAAATGCGATATCGAAGGTCAGTTTTCTTCTTTCTTTTAATTACAAAAGAAAAGAGAAACGCTTTGTATCGTTCCTTGGAAATAATCGGAACACCGACGCCTGGCGTCTTTAAATGCTTTTTAGAAGGGCGACACAGGCGTCGATGTTGAACGCATTCGTTATCGTCGCAGTAAAGATACAAAAATATGGCTCCACACACATTGTCTGCATGGCTGGGTGCATCGTATTTTTTCTTTTTGTTCTTTTCTTTTCAACTTGTATACTATTATTCAACAACAACGAAATGGTTGCATCGCAATACGTAATCGTTACTATTCAATCTTATCTTATTAATAGATTATCATTATCATTATCATCATCATCATCATCATTATTATATTTAAATAATCAATAAAAAAACAAAGACAATCCTAGTGAACTGTATGGTTTGACCCCACTTGGTCGGCCAATCAATCTCTCTGTTGTTCTCAAATCTCCACCGGTCGACACATTGTGCACTCAAGGCAATTTTTCAAATTTTTTCTATTCGTCCAATCAAAAAAAAATAATAATAATAATATTATAATAAAAAAGATGACCGAACAGGCTCCGTTTTGCAGGGAATATTGCCACAAGATAAATCATTCCAATTCAATTTCGAACACCCTAAAAACGTAACCCGTTCGACACAACAACAATTTATTTACATACAATCATCGTGATCGTGTTATGTAATAAAATTATAATACTTTCAGTTTATTCTTTACCTGTAACCCCCCTTACAGATCCAAAATAAATTATTTAAAAATTAATTAAAACGAATTATACATCAAATAAGTCTTCGAATGACTAAATATTATGTTTTCGAGTAGTTCTCGTGCATCTGGAGGAGCGCCACAGGCAAAAAATAAGTAAAATGAGGATAAATATTGTGAGGGAAGTGGGGGGAGGGGGACGACACGACGTGTATGATCGACGTTACTTTTTATAAAATCGTTACTACATTATTACCACATTATCATTAATGATATTAAATATCGGTTTTACAAAAAACAGCACCAGGTAAAAGTACTTCTAAATGGCGAAGAACTGAAGTAATAAAAAATATATGTAAAAAAAAACTAGTCCGTAGCATTAAATACAACAACACATCATACGTACACACACTTCTATATATATACATTGGCTTGATAAATACAAATAATTTTACATTGCCAAAAAACCCGGTTCGAGGGAGCATACCTGTAAAATGTGGCCAGCCAGCCAATCTCGCGAAGAAGAAATATGTCTTTCGCTAGGAATTTTAGTAATGCCTGCATCATTTTATTTCCTTTTATTTCCTTTATGAACACAACGTGCCCGACCGAATGCTATAAATATTTCGTTAATTTTGACATAAATATACGTAAATGTTTTTTCTTTCATTAAATTTCCTTTCTGACGGCTATGTTCACGATCGACTACGGAAGGAGAGGACAGCAACAGTCACGAATAAACAAATACGCTCTATCTATCGTATGAATGAAGCACGCATGGGACAATTTACACTTGCGCGCCGCAACCACATATTCTTTCGATTTCCTCACTTGGAAAGTTCTGACTGAGTGACATCTTCCCAAGTTTGCCAACTATTCGTGGTTGTTGCTATTTTGCATCTTTCAAGCCAAAATCGGCAATATCTTCAATGACGAACGATAAAAGACCGATGATGATGATAATAATAAAATTAATTGGGAACAATGTTTACTTCGCAATCCCGTTTGCCTTGAGGCTGTCAGCTACTCTGCCTCGTCGGACGCTAACGGACGGTCTGTCGTTAATGATGACGTATTATTTATTTTTCGTTCGTGTGATTAACACGTTCAAGGCCGTGTATACTTTTTCGGATGCAAGCTGCTGGAACGTCGTGCGTATCAACAATCGATAATACCAACGCGG